TAAATATTCAATGGATGTCTTTGCTCCTTCTCCATGCTACACCTGCATGCAAACCTTTTTTTTTTTTTTTAATTTCGAATATTTCGGCAACCTTAATAATCTAGTGATAATCTAGTTTCTTTTTTTTTTTTTTTTGTAATTTCGAATATTTCGGCAACCTTAATAATCTAGTGATAATCTAGTTTTGTTTTTTTTTCTTTTTTTTTTTTTGCCATGCAACTTGCCGCCAACTGCATGCGGCTTGCCGGGGGCAAGTCCGCGCATGTGGGTTGCGATAACCCACACGCCCCATCCGCCAACTGCATGCGGCTTGCCGGGGGCAAGTCCGCGCATGTGGGTTGCGATAACCCACATGCCCCATCCGCCAACTGCATGCGGCTTGCCGGGGGCAAGTCCGCGCATGTGGGTTGCGATAACCCACATGCCCCATCCGCCATGGCCGTAGAGCCAGCATGCATAGCACGTAAGAGCACATAGGAGCACATAGTTGAGGTGGCCGTGGGCCAAGCATGCAGAGCACATAGGAGCACATAGTTGAGGTGGCCGCGGGCCAAGCATGCAGAGCACATAGGAGTATATAGGGGCACATAGTTCGGGAAAATAAACACAATCTTTACCTAACTAAGTGTTCAAGTGTACTCACCAGAGTAGCGTCTCGATGTGCTAAGTGTGTTATCTTATAGGGTAGCTCCTCTTGCGAATCGACCATTTGGGCATACCTCGGAACCTTGCTAGGATGGTAGAGACTACAAACACGGGCTAATCGTAGCGAGCCCCACAGATGGTGCCAATGATGGTTTTATTAGGACCGAGTCCACCATAAACCGGGTACAGGAGTACAGAACGGGGGGTAGGGCGCTAGGCCCAACACAATGTGAACCGGGTACAGGAGTACAGAACGGGGGGTAGGGCGCTAGGCCCAACACAATGTGTATAGAAGCCCGAGATACAGGCCCAAGAACAGTGACCCAAATACAAAGAACAAGTCCCACGGGGTGGGATATAACTAACTATGCTACTGAGAGGAATTGAACCCAGGTGGCTGGATTGAGAGTATGAGATCAAGACCACTGGACTAGTGTGCCTGTCGTGTCTCAGTTGCCCTTAGCCAAAGATCTAGGGCCCCTATTTATAGCAAGCCCCCCTCCTCCTCTAGCGTCCATGTGTCCCATGCAATCCATCTCCACTTCCCCATTTGTCGCTACACAAGCGGGCACGTTCGCCATACTTCCAGGACTCCCGCGCATACCATCCCGGTCCATCATGCTCGGCACACCTGCCCAGCACCCCCCCGGGAATGGGGGGGGTGCCATTGACAATCTGGGGGGCGCACTGCCCCCGCTGGCTGCGCCTCGGCCTGAGGTGGCCGGCGGGACCCCCCGCCGGCCAATCACCGGCCGGTGGTGGAGGCTGCCCTGCCCGCAAATATCGCTTATATATATTTGTCGCGCCTTAATACATAATGGTTTGCGTGGGCTGATGGTTAGGCACAGGCCTGCTATGCGGGAGGTCAAGGGGTCGAATCCCACTGGCAGCAGTAGCGCCTTTCCTTGCATTTTACCCATGGCCGCGGTGGTGGGGCACTACCGGTGGCGCACCTCCCCCGCCCGGTCGCCGGCGGTTTGTGCCCCGAAAATCTTTCTCTCTCCTCCGTTTTGGGCCACCACGCCCCCTTGTCTTCTTAGCCCAATAGGACTTGGGCCAATCTCCCATCATCACCACCCCCACTTGGGTCAATACTATGCCAATAAAATGGACCACCGGGTCCCATATTCCCATCAAGTATAAATAATTATAACACATATCGATTTGTTTCGTACTCATTTTATCCTACCTAAAAATTGTCGGTTTGTATCCTTAGAAATTTTTAACATGACACGACGAAACTGAACTCAAAAATAATAAATTACTCCGCAGTATTTAGTATTAATGTGTCTGACCTATTAAGAACTTGTTTATCTCAGTAAGATTGGAGTAAATATTATGTGTTGGGATTAACAAGAACAAGAAACAATAATAATGACAGAAAGTAAAGAAGAAAATATTTACTTGGTTTGGCAATGTGCCTACGTCCACGGAGTGAAACTATTATTTTATTCATTGTGATGGTGATACTGGTGATATAGTTGATGATGGTGATACCACACCTAAGAATATAACAAATGTATTTATAGGTATGTAATCTATGTACAATGGGCCTAACCCAATCGGCCCACTCTTATTCCTTACATGATCGAGATAGATTTCCTAGTCTCTATATGAGACAAACTCAACAATCTCTACCTTGATCAATATGCCATTTAGGAGAAAGGACAACTCACTAAATCTCCACTTAGCAAATATGCCATTTAGGAGAAAATGCTTATCTCGCATATACACATGGGTTAAAACAACCATATTCATCCCAATTGGCCAGCCACATGCACCGTGCAGCATCAAATTTTTCCCAGTGCATGTTCACGAACTGCTTCTTCTCAAGCCATTCGCCCTTAGCTGTCGACCTGTCATCCCGGGCGCGACTCGAGTTCAGCTTAACTAGCTAACTACCACATGCACCACGCACTATCTAGCGTTCCACCTGTAGCATGCTCACGAACTTGCTTCATCACAAGATGTTTGCCTTCAGTCGTTGACCTGTCATACTGGTCGCGACTCATGCTAATTCATTACCGCTCCTAGCACCCGTGCTGCCCATCCCTATAGCACCCCTCAGCCGACTTCCTCATTCGGCACATACCAGGTCCACGACCCCTCTTGGTATCCATGTTGCCCAACACTACAGCACCATGATCACCTTCTCATCTAGCATCTAGAAATGCCCAACAAGTCCAAACAATTTTTGAACTTGTCACTAGTAACTGCTAGAATATCACCTTCACTATACAATCTTAATAATCAGCTTGTACCACGTCCGCAGCCTCCAATTTATTCCAATTATTTTTATTTGGGAATTTCCAAGATCATAACGTGATACATGATTTCATCCGCAAGGCATAACCGAATGGTTCCTACTGCACGTTCCTTCAAATTCCCCCAATCAGCCTCTTCCTGATTAGCTAACTTTTCTGCCTTCAAGATTTTCGTAAGGCCCTGGTGTGCCAACAAATCCTTTATCCTAGACTGTCATAACCCAAAATTTTAGTACCATGAAACTTTGATACGTTGAATTTCACACTTAAACTAACCTATCTTAACAATGCCATGATACCAATTTGTTGAGATTAACAAGAACAAGAAACTATAAGGCATCTAATCCATGTACAATGGGCCTAACCCAATATGCTCAACTCTTATTCTTTATATATATGAGATAGATTTTCTAATCTACAATTTTAATAAGAGCCAATAATGTTAGGCCCTTAACTGGAACAAAAAAAATGTAGGTACCATTTTTTCTTAAAATTAATGGTTAATATTATTTTGATTTTAGTAATTTTTAATGATTTTTCTTATTTACCCTCTATTATATTATTTTCTTCCCTAAAATAACCCTAAATTCCGTTAGTATAAACTTTAATAACGGAATATTCCGTTAACTATTTATTATTCTTAACATACTCATTAATTTATATAAGAAAGGTCTTAGGTTCGAACCACATCCCAATTAGAGTTGGCATAATTGTTAAAATATGTTAAAATGTATTATATATATATATATATATATATATATATATATATATATATATATATATATATATATATATATAATATAAAATTTAACACAAACTTTGGTCAAATAATTAGCCCGAATAAATACATAGCATTCAAAGATTATAAATCAGAAACTTTAAAAATCATTTGATTCTTGATTTAAAATAAAAAATTAGGTTAAGTTTTTTTTAATGTTTAATTAATATTCTTTTGATTATTTAGAACAAACTTAATATTTCAATTATGCTTTTCTATTATTCGAATGATTTAGGTCATTATGGTATTAATATTTTTTGTATTTTTTTTATAATGATACAATTGTACATTACTTTACAAATATTATACTATTATTTTTTTATCGGACAAAATTGTTCTTACATCATTATTGTCCATATTACAACTAAAATCTCAGTCATATACGTAGCAATGCAAATCTATAGCTTCCTACACCATAATCTCATTGCATGATGAATCTCTCTATGCTGCCACCAGTAACCTAATGGCACATGACACACTGCCAACAAAAAAATTAAAAAGAAAGGACATGTACCGAAGATGAAAACAATAACAATGCTACCCAAAACAGAATTACTAATAATTAGAGAAATTAAACTAAAAATAGTATTTATTTAGACTATCGCTTTAAGACTAAGTATTTAGATTAGAGTTACTACAAAGTTACAAACATTTATTTTAGTGACAATTATAATCAATCCCTCATATATTATCTTCAATTTATATACTTTAAATTACCGATTCAAATAAACAAATTCAACATTTATTTACCTATGCATAAATATCTCCTATATAATATTGCATTGATATACTTTGAAATACTTATTTAAAAATAATCATTGGGCATTATCCCATTCGCGCAAAGCGCGTAAAAAAACTAGTCATTATATATGAGACAAACTCAACACGGAAAGAATGAATTGAATATTTTGTTGGATTAAATTGAAGTTAATACTCGATTTGTTGCCTTGACTATTATAATTTCACCACTTTGGTACTCAACTTCTAAATTTGCTCAATTCCATCCCAACTATGCAATTTTTAACTAAATTACTCTTGGTCCAAACCAAAATAGTTCTGGTTAGGACGACCATTTTGGTTAACAATTACATATTATGTTGGGATGAAATTGAGAAAGTTTGAAGTTAAAGAGTGATAAAATCATAATAGTCAAAAGACCAAATTGAGTATTGGATTAATCTTTTTTAAAAATAGAAAGATTAAAGGAAAAAAAAAAAAAAAAAAAAAAAAAAAAAAAAAACGTTGAATTAACATGTCTAGCGATTTGTCACCTCTACGCATTGAATTGGTGGGTAAACAACAGCTTTCATGAAGTCATCTTTATTTCATCTTGAATTGAACCTTTTGCTATTTGGCTATATAACATCAACTCCAGGCCGCCACAGGCAACCAGAAGCACTAACTCCTTCTTGTGAACAACCTAGTGACCTACCATGACTCTCCACTCTCAAACTTCAAGCTCCAGTGATGATTCCATGGCGGCAAAACCAGTTCCTCACCTTCTTTCCCAACCCAGTCTTCCTTCAATCCCTTCCCTGGCGGCGTTTCTCCACCACGACCAGACCCACCACTGCCGCTGCGTAGCCACTCTCAAGGCTCCTCACAGCTCCTCCTACACGTCTTCCCTCGTCCTCGCCGGCAAACACCTCTTCACGGCCTCCTCCGACAGGGAAATCCGCATGTGGAAGCGCAGGGCCGAGCAGGAAGATGAGAAGAATCCTCCCGCCGGAGCCACCGTCACGGCGGGGAAAGGCGCGGTGAAGTCGCTGGTGGTTTTGTCCGACAAGATATTCAGCGCCCACCAAGACCACAAGGTCCGGGTATGGAGAATCGACGATGGAGAGCGTGAGTTCACGCGCTTGGCCACGCTGCCGAAGCTCTCCGACCGCGTCGTCAAATTTCTCCTCCCCAGCAGCCGCGTCCAGATCCGGCGACACAAGACGGCCACGTGGGTCCACCACGTCGACACCGTTTCGGCGTTGGCGCTCTCCGCCGACACCTCTCTTCTCTATTCCGTCTCGTGGGATCGAACGCTCAAGATTTGGAGGACTTCTGACTTCAAATGCATGGAATCCGTCGCAAATGCACATGATGACGCCATAAACGCTTTAGCAGTATCTCAGGTAACATTTTTTTTTTTTTTTTTGTTTTTACTGTTAGAGTACATGAACTTGCCATGTGACCTAGTCAACAAATCACAAGAAGATAAATCAATCTAGATTATTTTCAAAAAAAAAAAAAATCTAAATTATTCATAGTTAATGATTGATTCAAATCAATAAGACTAATAGACTATTATACCTACATTAATGCATCGAATCTTTCAGAACTCTAAGTTTAAGCATGGGTGAGAGTGTGTAGTAGGATGGATGACTCTAGAAGTCCTTGTTGCATCCCTAATTCTGTTTGGGACAATTTCAGCTAAGTTTGTCCGACTGTTGATTTAATAATAATAACAAGGTTACAAGTTTAGTCTATTAGTCTTTTTAATTTGAACAATAAATTATGAAAATCTAGATTGATTTACCATTTAAAATTACAAAATAGAATTTACTCAGTGCACACTATAAAATAATGATGGTTGGTTTCTTCATCACCCAAAATTTTCTTTTCTTTATGATATTATTGAAGTAAGCGTTGGACAAAAATAAAAAATGTGTCGTTATTTATGGGACAGGATGGGCATGTATATACAGGATCAGCAGACAAGAAAATCAAGGTATGGAGAAAAGCCTCGCCGGAGAAGAAGCATTCTCTAGTTGCTACACTAGAGAAGCACAATTCCGGGATAAATGCCCTAGCAGTGGGAAACGGCGGCGCGGTTTTATATTCCGGCGCCTGCGACAGATCAATTCTGGTATGGGAGAAAGAACGGAAAGGCGGCGGCGCGGCCGTGGCGGTGGTGGGTGCGCTCCGGGGGCACACCAAATCCATTCTGTGTTTGGCGGTGGCGGCGGATATAGTGTGCAGCGGCTCGGCGGATAAAACGGTTAGGATTTGGAGGGGCGTGGAGAGGTGCTACTCTTGCCTGGCGGTTTTGGCCGGCCACGGTGGTCCGGTGAAGTGCCTGACGGTGGCGAGTGACTTCGTTGACGGCCGGAAAGATGAAACGCTATCCAAATATATACTGTACAGTGGTAGCTTAGATGGTGACATAAAGGTTTGGCAAATTTCTTTGAGCTTTTAGAAAAATTTGTGCCTATTAATTAGTACATATAGGAATATAGGATAATTTTAGGTGTATTAATATTTTATTTTTTTACAAAATTTTGTCTTATGTAAAACTATGCATCAATGACGCATATAATGTTGAAAAAGTATATGTAACATCACGTTATGAAATTGATTAGTTCATGTATAGGTAATAGACGGGCCATTCCAATTAAAAAAAAAAAGGTCATGTGCAATGTCTTAAATTGAGCTTTTTTTTCAAATAATTTGTATATATAAATAATAGTTGTTCAAAAAGTTGTGTCAAAAATTCAAAAATTAAATATTGTATAAAAAATAAATCTAAAATTTCATTTAAAATGTGACATGCGTCGTGCACATTTTAACACAAAATCATCCACCAAACCTTGATATCTGTTGGGAAGAAAGCTCGCAAGAATATATAATTAGCACAATGAAAATAAATAAACGGCACCAAGAAGAACACCAAGAATTTTAACGTGGAAAAACCTCCTCAAAGCAAGGAGTAAAAAACCACGGGCACAAGCCAGTAAACCTTCCACTATATAGATAATGGGTACAACAGAGGAGGCTTCTCTAATTCAACGATTAGAGGCAACACAAAATACAAGAGAAAATAACATACCCCGAGGCACAAGAATTTCTACGAAATCCACCAACTTCTTCTCGGCTAATTTTCTCACACTTGTATATCTCAACAAATTTTCTCTCCTCTCTTTTTCTTCTTCTTGAACTCTCTCATATCCAAGGTAGCCAAATCTATGGCCTTTATATAGGCTTTACAAAGCCAACTCTTTTGTCTTTCATTTGCCCACTTTAATCTCTCATTAAGTGGACATGAATGAAGCCATTAATCAAAAAACCTTTCACTTCATCTTCCAAGATTAATTGTTAAGCTTTTGGTCACCACCCTACCACATTGGTGGGACCATCTAGCAACAAACTCCCCCTCACGCCAATATGGGAGGGACTTGCATCCCTGCAGCTGAACGACATAGCTCAAGTTTTTCCCTTGGTAATGACTTTGTTAACACGTCAGACCCATTTTCATCTGTATGGATCTTTACAAGTTGTAACTGGTTCATCTCCAAAACATCTTGTATCCAGTGATATCTTACATCGATATGTTTCGATCTTGAATGGAAAGAGGAATTCTTACCAAGGTGTATAGCACTCTGACTATCACAAAATAACTCATATTTGTCTTGTTTGATCCCGAGTTCTTGAAGAAATTTCTTCATCCATAGCAACTCTTTACAAGCTTCAGTTGCTGCAATAAACTCAGCCTCTGTGGTAGAAAGTGCAACACACTTTTGTAACTTAGACTGCCATGATACTGCTCCCTCTGCAAATGTTATTAGATATCCCGAAGTCGACTTTCTAGAGTCAATGTCACCTGCCATGTCTGCATCTGTGTATCCAACCAACATAGACTTACTAGAACCAAAGCATAAGCATAATTTGGAAGTACCTCTAAGATATCTGAAAATCCATTTAACAGCCATCCAATGTTCCTTGCCAGGATTAGAAAGGAACCTACTGACAACGCCAACTGCATGAGCAATATCTGGCCTTGTACATACCATAGCATACATTAAACTACCAACTGCTGAATTGTAAGGGACTTGTTGCATACTTGCCTTTTCTTCCTCTGTAGAAGGACTTTGCTTACTACTTAATTTAAAGTGATTAGCAAGAGGAGAACTAACCGCTTTAGCATTGTCCATGTTAAACCTACAAAGTATTTTCTCAATGTACTTCTCCTGAGACAACCACAACTTTCTGGCATTCCTGTCTCGTGTAATTCTTATCCCAAGAATCTGTTTTGCTGGCCCCAAGTCTTTCATAGCAAAAGACTTGCTCAACTGTTCCTTTAGTTGATTAATTCTAGAAGCACTCTTGCCGAAGATCAACATATCATCAACGTACAACAGGAGAATAATAAAATCATCATCAGAGAGTTTTTGAAAGAACACACAATGGTCAGAAGTAGTCTTCATGTAACCTTGCTTCGCCATAACTGACTCAAACTTCTTGTACCACTGCCTTGGTGCCAGTTTTAAGCCATATAGACTCTTCTTTAGCTTACAGACATAGTCCTCTTTTCCCTTGACTTCAAAACCTTCTGGTTGCTCCATGTATATTTCTTCATCCAAATCACCATGAAGAAAAGCAGTCTTTACATCCATTTGCTCAATTTCTAAATCTAGGCTGGCTGCTAGTCCAAGAACAACACGGATGGAAGACATTTTAACAACTGGAGAAAATATCTCATCAAAGTCAATACCTTTTCTCTGGTTGAATCCCTTGACAACCAGTCTAGCTTTGTACCTTGGTCGTGAGGAATGTTCTTCCTGCTTCACTCTGTACACCCACTTGTTTGTCAAAGCTCTCTTACCTTTAGGTAGCTTTACTAACTCAAAGGTATTATTCTCATACAAGGATTTCATCTCATCTTTCATGGCTTCAATCCACTTTTCCTTGTGTTCATCCTCCACAGCTTCTGCATAACATTCTGGTTCACCATTATCAACAAAATTAATTTCATAAATATCAGAAGAGTACCTTGTGGAAGGCTGTCTAACTCTTGAACTTCTTCGAAGCTGAGGTGGAGTTGAAGCTTCTGGAACTGGGAGTTCATCATAATTAATGGAAGCATCAGTAACATCTTGCTGCTCAATTTGGTCATCCTCTCCAACCTCTTCAGGAACCACTGTTGGAGGTACTATCTCAGTATCAACTGAATCACCATTATGAGATCCCAATTCTTTAACCCGGTCAATATCCTCTATGGTTTGATTCTCCACGAACGCAACATCTCGGCTTCTCACAAGCTTCTTTTCAACCGGATCATAAAATCTGTAACCAAAGTCATCTAGACCATAGCCAATAAAGACACACTGTCGTGTCTTAACATCAAGTTTCGATCTTTCATCTTTCGGAATGTGCACAAATGCTTTGCACCCGAAGACACGTAGATAATCATAGGAAACATCATTTCCTGTCCATACCCGATTTGGTATGTCAAACTTTAAAGGAGCACATGGTGAGAGATTCAACACATGCGCAACAGTACTTAGTGCCTCAGCCCAGAATGTCTTTGGTAACTTTGCATGTGACAACAAACATCTAACTCTCTCAATCAAAGTCCTGTTCATCCTCTCAGCAACACCATTTAACTGAGGAGTCTTTGGTGGTGTTTTCTTATGGCGAATACCCTGCTCTACGCAATACCTATTGAGTGGCCCAATATACTCTCCTCCATTATCTGACTTTATGCATTTTAGCTTCTTCCCAGTCTGTCTCTCAACTAGGGCATGAAATTGCTTGAATATGTCCACAACTTGACTTTTATGCCTCAAAGAATAAACCCATAATTTCCTTGAGCAGTCATCAATGAAGGTAACAAAATAGCGAGCACCACCAAGTGACCTAGTTTTGAAAGGTCCACACACATCAGAGTGTATCAGTTCCAATACCTCTGGTTTCTTCTTAGTCTCAGCAGAACTTTTAAAGGATACTCGGTTCTGCTTCCCTGCTAGACAATGAGCACACCTCTTCAAATGAACATTGTTCAACCCAGCTAAGCTCTTTTTTCTGACCAGCATGGACATCCTCTCCTCAGATATATGTGCAAGCCTCTTATGCCATATATCATTCGTATCATCGTTATCAACCGTATTGACAATATTTCCTGAGATCTTGGCCTGTAAAACATAAAGTGTAGAACACTTTGTGCCTCGAGCCACAACTAGAGAACCTCTTGTGAGTTTCCATTGGCCATTTTGGAAAGTATTACAATACCCTTCATCATCTAATTTTCCAGCAGAAATTAAATTATACCTGATATCTGGAACATGCTTCACATTTTTCAGAAGCAACTTGGTGCCATTGTTGGTTTCTAACTGAACATCGCCAACACCAACAATCTTTGCATTACCATCATTGCCCATTTTCACAACTCCAAAATCACCTGTTGCATAACTAACAAAAAAATCCTTTCGAGCTGTAGCATGAATGGATGCACCACTATCAATTACCCAGTTTGTATCATGACTTGCCAAATTAATGGCATCTGTCTCACCATCATAGAAGATAAGAAAATCATGTTCAACTGTAGCAGCTACACTATCATCATCACTACCATTATTCTTTTCAGAGTCTTTATTTTTCTGATTTTCTTTCTTCCGTAGTCGGCAAAATTTCTTAATATGCCCCTTTTTGTGACAATGATAACATTCAACATTAGCAAATTTATTAGATTTACCTCTACTGTTATCTCTGTTTTTATCTTTACTCCTTGGACCCTTGCTTTGACTTCTCCCCCTATTTGTTGTAGCCAAGACCTCTGAATGTTGAGAGGAAGTACCTTGTGACCTTCGTCTCATCTCTTCATTCAGGACACCACTTTTAACAAGTTCCATCGTTACAACACCGTTAGGAGCAGAATTAGTCAAAGAAATTTTTAAAGTTTCCCAAGATTCCGGCAATGATGCTAGTACCATAAGAGTAAGGACCTCATCATCAAAATTAACTCCCATACCTGACAATTGATCAACAATCCCTTGAAATTCATTCAAGTGATCCGCAACAGAACTACCCTCGTTATATCTCAACTCCACCAATTTTGTGAGATAAAACAATTTGTTGTTGCCAGTCTTTGAAGCATATAAATATTCAAGTTTACTCCACAGTGTCCTTGCGTGGGTTTCACTACAAATATGATTATACACATTATCTTCAACAAATTGCCGAATAAAACCACATACCTGTTATGCTCAAAGGCCCACTCTTCATCTGATTTATTTTCAGGTTTCTGGGTAGCAAACACGGGTAAATGCAACTTCATCACATATAGTAGATCTTTTATCTTATTTCTCCATATGTGATAATTTGTACCATTCAAACTTGTAATTCTATTGAACTTTCCTTCCATAGCTTCGCACTTGAACAAGGCTCTGATACCAGTTGTTGGGAAGAAAGCTCGCAAGAATATATAATTAGCACAACGAAAATAAATAAACGGCACCAAGAAGAATACCAAGAATTTTAACGTGGAAAAACCTCCTCAAGGCAAGGAGTAAAAAACCACGGGCACAAGCCAGTAAACCTTCCACTATATAGATAATGGGTACAACAGAGGAGGCTTCTCTAATGCAACGATTAGAG